CAGACTGATTTACTGTATGTGCGGAAACATTACATTTTTCCAGATTTGAAGCACCAACTTTACTTTTATAGGAAAGCAGTACAACTGATTTTTAAAACTTGAGAAATAAAACAAAATGGCTGTGTTGGCTGTAACAACCAGTCAGATTTTAGCTATCATTTTTTAGTTCATGCCACAAATGAGAGCTTACAGCTAGGTATTATGGGCCAGACAAAAACTTAATAATTTCAGTTAATATTTGTATTTATTGTATTTGATAGTTGAATAGTAAATCAAGTTCTTGAAGATATTGTTTAAAAAAAAGTTATTTATACTTACCCCTTTCTGTGTGGTGAATACTTTCTGAACAGCTCATGCACAATCCATTCCTGTGCTAAGGAAATAGTAATTTTGTACATGCAGCATGGGAACAAGGCCTGACTGAGTTAACATGTTCTTGAACCTAAGTTCCTTGGTTCAAAGCCCACGAGACGGTGATCAGAATTGTGCTTTCTTTAGAGCTATCCGAGGATAAGGGCATTATTGACCCAGTAAAAAAAATTCCTTGCAAGACAAAATGACTATATAATTGCCTATTTTACAGCATAATGCCCGCTTAAAAGTCCTGTGGTTAGCTTATAAGGATGTGTTGCCAATGGCTAGGGTTCTCAATTAATGCAAATAATTTGAACTGTAAATATGAGAACTTTATAGAAGCATGCAGGTAAATGTAATAAAAGTCATACTGCTGCTGAAGGAGAAGCATAGAACATAAATAAGAGCAGTTTGCACAATGCACTGTAAAATATGTTGCCTTCTAGCGGCTATGAAAAAATAAATAAGGCCTGCAATGCCGTTTAGGATATAGCTGAGCATAGAGCTTTTTTTCTGCCTTCTATTAAACTGCTTTAGCATATTGAACTCCGCTCTTTTTCTTCTACATCCGTTTTGCAGCATTTTTGTGAAATTTAATATCTTTGGAAACTCTTCCAGAGATATGACTGCAAATATTTTTTTCCTGTAATTGTAGCTATTTTTTGTATTGTTGGGCAGTTGTATTAGGGTTTCTGTAGACTAAATTTGTTGCTGGGAAATGAAAAGCATTTAGGAATTAAGCTGTATGTTGTCAGATATACTTCTGGATATAAACATTAATTTGCCATTTTTAAAAGAAAACATAATTCCAAAATATGTTACCTGCGCAAGGATTTGTAGTTCTGTTTAGCCAGTTTTGCCCAGTGAGTCTCAGCTAGCCCTACCTAATTATTTTTGCTGTTCTTGTCCCTCACTTTGATAGATGCCATAGGCCTTCAGTGCACCTCCGGTCACGCCCACGCATTCTCTTTGATTAAGCCCAATGGGTGAAATGTGTGAGAGGATCAGGATTGGTGTGGAGATTTGGATATGTGTGTACTATATTTCCCTAGAATTTAACTTTGTAGGCCAATCTACTATAGGGTAGGCATACAGCTGAAATACAATAATGAAAACAGTGTTACCTGCGCAAGGATTTGTAGTTCTGTTTAGCCAGTTTTGCCCAGTGAGTCTCAGCTAGCCCTACCTAATTATTTTTGCTGTTCTTGTCCCTCACTTTGATAGATGCCATAGGCCTTCAGTGCACCTCCGGTCACGCCCACGCATTCTCTTTGATTAAGCCCAATGGGTGAAATGTGTGAGAGGATCAGGATTGGTGTGGAGATTTGGATATGTGTGTACTATATTTCCCTAGAATTTAATTTTTATTTTTTCTCTGTGGAATTTCCATGGAGTGCAGCATTTATCCATTAGGTCCATTTAGGTCCACTTTATTCATGCCCATGCAGTTTAGTTTCATCTCTGGAATGTGTAGACCCATGTTCAAACAGAGGGGTTGATTTACTTTGTGTGTAGAGGCTGTTTACTTAGTAAAGGGGATGTTCTCCTTGCAGAATGAATGGTAGTATATTTTGTGAAAACCCAATGATGTAGCATTTGAAGTTTTAAAAAAAACCAAACCTTCCAGATGAATAGTTCTTCATCTCATATAATAAGCTCAATGAACCTTCACTTTGCTAAATGAACAATGTCTTTTCCTAAATCAACTCCTCCATCTTTTGCACACACCTGTATTCATCATTAAAATGAGCATACGACCCTTGACAGCTAGTGATGGTTATTATATTGGTGCAGGACTGCAGATGTAAGCGATCAGTATAGATCACAGATTTCTTAGCCCTATTATGGAGGCCTAAGACTGCCATGACCTAGATGCCAGTAATACTTACTGGTCAGAGAATGCTGCTAAGCACGATAATAATTAAAATGACACCATTAACCTATATTAAAATATTGGGCAGTTTTCATTCAGTAAGGTTTGGTATGTTAGATTTTTAATTTCATAAATCGGCATGTGGAACACAAAAGAGACTTGCAGATTTGTTTTAATATCATAGCAAAGCCCAATGCCAATATCATCCTGTCAATGGATGGATTCTATTTAATTTACAAATATTTTCTGGCCAATCTACTATAGGGTAGGCATACAGCTGAAATACAATAATGAAAACAGTGTTACCTGCGCAAGGATTTGTAGTTCTGTTTAGCCAGTTTTGTTATTTAGGCACCCCTTTCAGACAACAGAGGCAGCTCTTTAAGGCTAGGTTCACACCTGGGCGATTCCTGAACGTCTGGCAATTGTGCACAAAGCCGATTGCTGGGCTGTCACAAAGTCGCGCACCACAGCCAGTCGCACCGGGCGGATTGCGCGGTTTCCCGCCATGATTCCGCCTATGCAATTGAACTAAAAAAGCACGTTGTGCATCGCCAAAAAGGTACACATAGCTTTTTAATTTTTTTTTAAAGCAATTGACACGCGGATGTAACCCTATTTAAATCAATGGGGCCGCTCGGAAACCACTGTGTGCACTAGCACATGATCACGCGTTCCCAGGATGCGTGTCCCGGGTGTGGCTCAGGTCTGAACCTAGCCCAACAATTCTGCAGACTACACGGCATGTGAGCAATACAGCCAGGTCTAGCCTCCTGTTTTGACAGGAAAGATTCAATTTTAACTGCGCAGCTTTGTTAATTGAAACAGAGCCCCAATTTTCTCAGAGTGCTGGCCGTCATCTGAGTGCTGCTGTGCAGTATAATAGAACAGGCTAAAATCGTGATAGCTTCATATACTTGTACTGAATTGTATGCAAAGATAAAGTTTGCAGTTTATATGTTACAATCTTTTGCCTTGAAAAGCAAGTGGAGTTTTGACAATATATATTTTTTCAAATGGTGTTGGTCCGCAAGACACAGCATTTCTTTCCATATGTGTAAGTTGATGATCTGCTGAATAAATATCAGTCAGAATGATCAATTTTTTTTATCTCAAGTAATGTTGGAAAAACATGTCCGGCATGGACAAGTAGCCCAGTGAGTCTCAGCTAGCCCTACCTAATTGTTTGAGAAATAATATTTTGTGCAAGCGGTTTTTGCCTATTGGCCAGTTATGGTTGTGATCAGAGCCGGTACTCCCACTAGGCAAACAAGGCAGCCGCCTAGGGCACACTGTTGCCTAGGGGCGCAACCTCGACCAGCGGCTTCCTCGGGTGTCAGTTTCCAGTCTGAGGCTCTAGTGATCGGAGTATCCCGTGCGGCTCAGGAGAGGCAGGCAGTGGCGTTCGCAGATGGGTATGTGCAGCTGCTGTTTTGAAATGCTGTCTGTTAGATGCGATTGGCTGACGGGTGGACAGGGGGCATGGACGGTCCCCGATACTTCTGCCACAGAAAGCAATGAGAGGGAGACCTGTCTGGGGTGTAGGGGAGAGGCCGCCTCCCTTAGGCCCGGCTCCCAGTCAATCACGGTGGAGGAGGAGAAAGTTTCATACAGGGAGGAAGCTGCAAACTTTTGGGTGCCACGCCGTGCCCAGTGCCGCACCTGCCTCCTCCTGTGTACACACACACAACGTGCAGGAGCGGGAACTCCTCACCGAAGGAGAGTGTTGGCCCTGCAGCCCGTGGAGTCCCTGTGAGTTTAGCCTGTGCAATGTACACCGCCGGACTAGCCCAGTTTTATGCCACCTCTCAATTCAACCTGTGGTCTGCCTGCTGCTCAGGGGTCTTTCCTCCTGCGGACCCCGCTAAGAAGCCATGCTTCTATTTCGCTGACATCCTCCATGTGGGGCACTCTGACAAGCCCCCCATGATCCTCCCACTGCTGGTCTTGCCTAGGGCACAAAATAGTCTAGCACCGGCCCTGGTTTTGATTGCTATATAATGATATGGATTTTGCGGGTGCTTTACCTATGTTCAGGCATTTGCATGCAGTCTATCCCTGTATGTGATATACAGTATGTTTGCCAAATTCACATTTTAATTCCTTGCTTTTTATTCTCTTTATACATAAATACTTTGGGAGGAATTTATCAATTTGGTCGCATCATCAGTGTCTTTTAAACTGTGGCATCCCTGATTTCTAGTGCATATAGTGACAGGTTTATTATCCTAGTTTGTTTCATTCTTATATGCCCTCCCAAGGAGAATTGTCTCTAAGTTGTCCTGGTCTCTAAACTGTCGCAAGCTGAATATCCCTGAAGTGTTCAGCTGATTTATGTGTATGAAGCAGAGTTATTTTTGCGATACCTTTAAGAAGCGTTTAGGATGACTTCTAGAATCTGCTACAGTTTGGATGTTTTTGAAATTCACAGATGCTGGAGGCAGATACTGCACAGTTCTGAAAATATGGGAAATGTCACAAAACGTGTGCAGTGAGATGCACACATAAATATGCCACAAGACATTTTTTTTTTACAAGTTTTATGAAAGAGATAAAACTTTGCAGTTAGTCAGCATGACCTTTTGGTCTTTGTGACAAAAAAATGTTGCAAACTCGTTCATAAATTCCCCCAATTTTGTTTTGTTGGTAAATAGTAATGTAAACATTTGTTGATTTATGATACAGTTTAAACTTATACGGAATGTAAACAAATAATCTGATTTAGGTGCATGTATGAAACCATACTAAATAAGGATTTGTTATTTTCTTCCAGATGAGTTGCGAAAATTAAGTTGGTCTGGAATTCCCAAACCTGTCAGGTCTATAACATGGAAGCTTCTTTCGGTAAGTTGTTATGCACTGCTGTTGTAAACCTATTTTGAGACCAAAAAAAAAAGTGTATATTACTGGTATCATAAATTGTCTGTATTACATAAACTGCAAAGTAAGATTTTTCTCTTTTTTTTTATTTTTTTTAAATTTCGCACTATTCCTTTTAATGTAATTCTTAAAAATGTATGTTCTACCATTTCATTTGGTGTTGTACAAAGTATTTGTTGCATTAGGTTTGAGTTTGTCTTGGATAAATTATTTTATTAAAATACATGCTAGAGGAAATGCCGGAGATGGTTAGCAAAATGTTATTAATTGTCAGTTTTCATCTTCTTTAATAGTAATGGTTTTTAACTAGTGCCTGTTTTATCTGCCAGTTTCAGCAGCTGTAGAACTCTGGACTGATTCACTTAGAGTGCTTACTCCAGGGAATGTTAAAGAGACTTTATCAGTGGATCTCGATGCACTTAACCTATGTTTAACATTCTGTGTTGTGCACAGCAGTGTTTAGTCTTTTTTTTGTTTTTTTGGGCTTTTTTCCCTCTTTCCCTAGAAAGATGCTTTAGACAGCTTTTCTTCTTTGGCGTAAAATCAAGTGGGAAAACAAAGTGTTTACATCAGATAGAGTCTAATTTCCATTTTTTTTTCCTTTTTAATGAGTGCTAATATGTTTGCAGCTTAGTGGATTTTCAAATTGTGAAGAAGCATAGATTTTAACTGAGAATTAAGAGGAGCCTAGCATAAACAGCTTGCTGCTCTGGTCTCATTGTTGGATGACTTACCATCCATTTCAAAGCCAATACATTGTTAACATTTATGAAATGCCAATTACACTTTGCTTTGTATTTTTATAGAATCGGGACATTTTTAGGTAGGCTGTATTACCTTGCAAATGATTTTCCTCAAGATTTTTATTGTAACTAACAATTTCTCTTATTTGCTCCATTTTGTTCTGCAAGATATAATATTAAAAGCATTTTGTCTTAACTGTTTGATAAATGCACACAAATATCTGTTGATCCTGTAAGAAATCCATTGTAGTCATGTGCATTATACAGTGTTATTTTAAAAGAGGAGTATGGGGGTACACTTTTTTTTAGTTTTTAAATTGCTTATGATACAGGAGTACATTTGACTAAATAATGTACATTATTATTTCGATTTTACTTATACTGTAGCCTTATCTCCTGGGCAGCCTGGGGGGGTGCTAACATCCACTCGGGCACTACAGTGCATTCGGTGACTTTCTTACCTTAATCCATAGGTTAGGTACTAGGTCCCGCTAGGTCCATTTACTTTCCTGAAGCACTGCTGCTGCTCTCCTCTCCGACGAGTCAGGGAGAAGAGATAGAGACAACAGTGTGGAGAAGAGGCGGGGATGGAGGACAAAGGCGCAAAACAGAGTTTACAGGACAGAGTTTCAGGGAATGGAGCTGCTACATCTGCGCAGGTATTAATGAGTGCGCAGCAGCTCCTATAAGCTGAGCTGTCAGTCAGTAGGAGAGAAGAGTAGGGCGGATCCCAACAATATTGCCGCGATCACTTCACAAAATGGTGCTTAGCCCCACCCACTGTATGTTATAGCAAATTACAAGCTTATGGTGGATTTTTGTTTGCAGGATTACTTTGCAAAATGTACTCCTGTATCATTAGAAATCTAATAATGCAAAAAAGTGTACCCCATACACAGAGTTATCGACCTTGCTCAGTTCTCCTATGTGTACTACAGAACTACAAAGGTGTTCTGTAGTCCTAACACATTTCCTGTCCTAGCATGACAATGGTGTCCCTCCATAAATACAGTAAAGCAAGCAAGGATTGTCACCCCTGTAGCAGTAAAAGGGAAAAATTAAAGGAAATAAGCGTAAAAACAAAACAAGCTATGTATCCACCACATCTAAGAACTGCTAGGCTGCAATATTTTATTTTTACTCTTGAGTTTAGATACAGGTTATTATTCCTAGCATTGCACAAGAACATACACAAGAGCTAGTATGAGTGAAATATTAACCTATAAGCATATGTTTGAACTAAGGTGGCGGCAGAACACTTGGAGAAAAGCCTCGCAGATTCCATGGTTGGAAATTAACTCTGCACCATTACTGCAAGATAGGAATGCTTGTCCATTAACCACATGCTAGCTGTGATCAAGCAATCAATCCTTAAAATAAGATGCTTGCACTATTTAGTAGCCATCTTTTACACTATATTTTTACCCTGTACCCGTGAATATCAGTTGTATTCTGGCTTATCCAGGCTGATTTGATAATACTGCCATATGACTTCATTAAAAACCACCAAAATTGATGCAAGGTTCAATACTAACTGTGCCCAAAATAAAAATAAAAACAACAAACATTATATAAATAAATGTATTTTAAGTGGGCAGCAAGAAGCAACACATAAATTATTTGGACAGTATTCTGTATCATGAGGCATTTACAAGAAAATATACAGTTGTCAGAAATCGAGACCTCCGAGTCCCCATCTATTTTGGCCACTATCTCTGGGTCTCCCTTGGTTTGCCCAACAATTTCAATTGTAGCAAACCAAAGGGGGAAGTAATGTGAAAGAAAAGATCTGCGAAGTGCAGGGACAGAGAGTGGTTACCATGGCATGGTATCCAGCATTAGGTGTAAAGAGAGGCGTGGGGATAAGAGAATACATATAGGATAGGGAAGGTAGGGAAAAAGATCACAAGGGGCTAAAAAAAGCAGGTAAGGAAATGCTTCAAGTGTAGATGGTGAGATAAGATTGTGTAGGCATCCAGAGAGGCTTCAAAGAACTTCTCAAGATGGGGCTGATGCAAATGTAGACATTTAGTCAGCAGTATAGGTATACTCTATCAAAAATAACCACCTCTGCCAGAAAGAGTTGAAATCTTCCTTAAGCTTTATATCATTGAATCTTGGTAACCATTGTGAAATTGTAGGACCTTCCTGTCTGCAGAGTGTCAGGATGCAAGCTCTAGTGGCATTCATAAGATGCACTAAAACAGAAAGTTTGTACGCTCTTCTGTGGTATGGCGTTATGACAGGGAAAAGGGGCAGATCACGAGGGATTGGAAAAATCGGTGAATTTCAGGTGTTATATTTGACCCCCTTCAGAAATTGGAGAGTTTGTGGCACTCCCAGAAAATTTTAAGAATGATACCATCCTCATCTTCACATTGCCAACAGGCTTTTGAGAAAGAGTTTAGCAAACTGAGAACCCTGTACCAGCCCATTGAGAGTTTGTAGCCTGCATCTTGATAATTATTCGTTGATGTTTTGTGTATAAAATATAGGATTTTGTCGTTTTGTTCCCATGTAAGATTTATTTGTAAGTCTGTTTCCCATTTTTGTGGGAAAGGGAGGGGTTGTGTAATTTCTTTTGTGGTCAGTTTAGAAGAGTTGAGAAAACACACGTTCTATGCGAGCCCCTTTCAGCAGTACATTTTCTCATCAATATTGTGCCTTCAATTGGGGTAGGTAGGTTAGAAAGCAGTGTAATTGTAAAGTTGTCCAGAAGTCCAAGGGGACATACTGTATGTGGGGTCTTATGATGTAGCTGTCAATGTAGACTACATGGAAGCTGAGCTGAAATGTTAGATTCTGTTCTGCCTCGACTGTGCTAAGAATTGAAAGCATGGGTTAAGCATGCCTGGCTTAAACTGGGGATTGCCAAGAGTTGGGTGCAACATTAACATGGTGGGAGTGACCAAATGGCATGTCACTACAGAGGTTTCATAACTGGTTGATAGTAAATATATACTATGTCCAGTTTGTGAATGAATAGGAAACCTCTGTACCAAGTGCTGTCAATTCAGAACAGAGACTGCAGATAAAAAGATTGAGGACTCTGTGTCCTCAATTTCTTTTTCTATTTCAAAAGGGAAATGTCAGGTGTCTGTTTAGACCGCTGATATTTCCCCGAAGCCCACCAACAGTAAAAAAATAAAATAAGAATAGAAAAAAATAATAAAACGCACACATATACATGTGCAACAGTTTGCACAATATTGTCACTGCATAGCGAAAGTAAAATTTTGCAACTTCCATCTCTGCATAAGACCTGAAAAGAGCTGCCTTGCTTTTATAATAATGTAGTGTTTGGAGCAGTAATATGAATATCTTTATCCTCCTTTTTTTTCACACCAGGGCCATGTGTTAATTGCCCGGTTCTGCATGATTAACACATGGTAATACATAACGTACCTACAATGTGTTAATGTGGGAGCTGCGTTGCCATTCATTTGAATGGTACCCCAAATACACCTCCTGCCCTCAATGCAATCGCCCGCTACTTTTTTTATGCCTAGTTTAGCAGTTGCATTTTTAAAGAATAAAGTGCACATAAAAATCAGAAAGTTATCCATCTTGTAAGAGTCAGCAACAATTAAAATTCATTTCTTTGATGCCTTCTGATAAATATGAGCACATTTTGGGAGCAAGTTGATCAATGAGGGCTACAATAAAAGATCAGTGAAAAAAAAAGAAACTTTACTGCTAAAACTGTACTTTTTTGACATTTTCTAACATTTTAAGGAATCTGAAATGTTACACTAAGCGATCCATGACATACCCCATAATGATAGAATCCTAAACCTTAGCCATCTGCTGATTTAATTTGAATAAGTGCTTGTCATTTTATGTGCTATCATTTAAATTACAACTCCTTTCATGCTTTCTGGACAAGCAAAGATCACTGTGAGTGTAAGAAAACCGTGTAGCTCGTAAACTGAAGGACAGACTAAAACCTGCATAAGCATTACATCATAAAATTTTAAATATCTCTACATTGACACATGACTTAATTTAATAATGATCAGTAAGCCATTACTTTGATTATGTTCTGTAGAAAAAGCAAACCTCCTATGCCAGTAAAAAAAACAAAAAAATACTGTAGAATAAAAACATGCAGTGTGTATACTGTATGTATGCATTGTACAATCAATGTAAATTTTCTTGTAGAATATGTCTGTGCTTTTGGGGAAACTGTTTTTGTCTGTGGAATATAGAAAAATAAAGTAA